ACCCCCCCCGCACCTGGCAGGTCTTGCGAATGACCATCCATGGCCTGGATGACGAAGGGACCCCCCAGCACCTCTCCATGAGCAAGAAGGAAAGGATTGGGACGTTTGCCGTGCGGGACGGGCTCAACGCCTCCGCCATGGTGGTGTACGACTACAGCAAGGTGCGCAGGCAGCCCCGGGGCCGGGGCACGATGGGGCGGGTGGCGGCGGCGGGGACGGGGCTGAGCTGACCCAGGTCTGTCTGCAAACAGCTGCTGGTCGGCTACAGGTCCTGGCACCACCGCGCCTGCTACGTCACCCGCGTGGACAAGGACAACATCCCGGGGCTGGACACCGTCACCGAAACTTTCCAGCGCCGGCAGGTGAGCAGGGGGTCAGCCCAGCCCAGCCCCTGCGTCCTGGGCAGCTGGGGCGAAGTGAGGGGCTGCTGGGCTTGCGGCAAGCGTCCGCTGGAGGGGATGCAATGTTGTCCCCCCCGCCGTTCTCTCTCCTGCAGGCTGAGATGAAGGAGGCCGGGGATGACGCCGTGCCCCTGGCCGACCGCTCCATCCTGGGCACCACCGTTAACATCCTCTGCAGCACCGTCCCTGTCTACTGGGCATAGCGCCGGCTGGGGTCGGCTCCCGGGGGGATGGGACAGCGAGATGGGGATGTCACTGTCCCCATCCTCCCCACCAAGTTGCCTTTCAGGGGGGATGCTGGCAAGACAGTGCCCGGGCATCTCTCCTCCTCCACGGCTCCATCCCGCACACGGCCCAGGGGCAGCCGCCCCCTCGTCGGGGTGTTCTGCCCCCAGCCACTCGGCACCACGGCTTTCCCACGGCACTTGCAATAAACAAGTGGGATTTGCTTTGGGATTCACGCTTCTGTCTGCAAAGTAAAGCCTGTGCCCCTGCCTCTGAGCGCTGCTCTCGTCCTTCCCCCTGCGCCGGCCAAACGGCCCTTCCCAGGGTGCCGGGGAGAGGCGGCACGGTGCCCCAGGGATGTCTCCCTGCGGGGTCCGGCATGGGTAGATGCATCCTTCATGTCAGTGTGCTCGGTCCAGCCCCAGGCGAGGAGCACGGGAGGGCTCGGACACCCGCTCCCCGGGGCAGCGGCACACCCCCCCACGTTGCACACCGTGCTCCCAGGCTGCGTGGCCAGTGTCACCCCCCTGTGCCCTCCCAGTTTGCACGGAGGGAGGATGAGATGACAGGGGCAGCCTCTGCACCTCCAGCCCATGGGCACAGGCAGCACACCCAGCCAGCACCGGCACCGCTGCGGGGTCTGGGCCACCCCTCCGGGACAGGTCCTCATCCTTGTCCCCTCCGTGTGCAGATGGGGACAGAGGGACTGTACCACATCCCCGGTGAGAGCCAAGCCCTGGGCTGAGCAGGGCATCCACAGACACCGTGATCTGCTTGCTCCAGCTCCCCTCCATCCCCCCTCCGCTCCCCGTCCCCGGCAGCTCCAGCTCCTCTGCCCCAAAGCAGCTGGGAGCATCCTTGGGGGGCACCTCCAAGCGCTGCACCAGAGACCAGGGGATCAACAGGGCTCAGAGGGATGAAAGAGACTCCGGGAGGACCCAAGCCAGCCCCCCCAGGAGCACAGCGGTGCCGGGCAGCGTGATTTAACCTCTCAGCAGGCACTAGCTCAGGGTCATCCCTGCAGCCACTGCCATGGGCAGCGAGGAGGGTCGCAGCCCCTGGGGGCTGACGCTTTGCTGGGAACAGGAGGGAAACTGCACATTGCCACAGGTCAACACAGGGCCGGCAGCTCTGCTCCCCGAAATCCCAGGTCTGGCCCTGACCCTGTGTCACCCTGGCAAAGAGCAGGGCCGAGAAGGGTGCGCGATAAGGGCTCCCACAGCCTCTCCTGCACATGGTGTTGGAGAGCAAACAGCCAGGAGCCACTCCAGAGTCTCCTGTGCTCCTCGACACCCTGGGACAGGAGGCAGCGTGCAACACGGGGTGCACACCCTCGCCCCCACACCCAGCTGCAAGCATCTGGTGTCCCAGGGGGCCAAGGAGTGGGCCCAGGGGTGGCTGGAGAGGTCCCAGCCTGAGCCCAACTGCAGGAGAGGCTCATGTCCAGACAAGACCAAGGCACAGCGGTGTCACCTTGCCCTGCTGATTGTACTACCCAGGGTGACATGCCAGAGCTAGGACCCCCCTCTCCCTGAGCAAATCCGCACCATGGGCAGCCCTGAAAGCCCCAGCGCTGGCAAGACGAGCCCCCGCAGTGCCCGAGCATCCCCAGGACCAAGGCTGCGGAGCACCCAGCCTGGCCATGGCCCAGGGACGCGTCCCCACCCCGTGGTGACCCCGTTCCCACCCCAGCCTCGCAGTTTGTGGGAAAGCTTTGATGTCCCGTTTGCACTTTGCCCACCTCGAGCAGCTCCAGGTGCCCGAGCTGGCGAAGGGACACGGGCGGCAAGCCAGGTCTCGCCTTGGCTGCAGCCATTGCCGGATGCTCCACCCTGGAGGGCAGCTCTAACCCACGCAGGAGGGTTTGCTTTGGCCCCAACACCTCGCTTCTGGGCAGCAGAGTGGCCCCCGTGCTCGGGGACAAGTGCCCTCGGAGCCTCTTGACCAGCGGGTTCCCAGGGGAATCCAGCCCCGGGGAAGGCGGTCAGCAAACAGAAGTGAAGTGGATTGCACGCCAGCGCCCAATTGCACACCAGGGCCATGAGACAGATCACAGGCGCCGCCCATTCCCCACCCCAGCGCCCTGGTATAAAGCCCTCTGCCCCGGCTGCTGCGGGGCAGCCCAGGCTGGGAGGAGGAGGAGGAGGAGGCAGCCATGGAGAGCAGCGTGAAGCAGGTGGTGGTTGAAGAGCTGCTGGTGAGTCCCTGCGACCCGCAGCGGGGTGGCACGGTCACGCTGGGGGTGTCCTTGTGCCCAGCAGAGATGCTCGGCACAGGGCTTTGCCCGGTTTATCCCGGCGAGGCACCGGTGCACGTGTGATGGAGCAAGGGCCTGTGGGATGCTGCATCCCCAGAGCTCAGGGGAAGCGGGATGGGAGCTGCTCCCTGGGGCAAGCCCAGCCCCAGCCCACCTGCATCCCCCAGCTCCCATCTCCTTCCCGCTCACCCCGGCTCTCTGCCTTTCCCGTGCCCACAGGACCCGGAGAAGGGCTGCTGCGGCTCCGGCTGCTGCTCCCAGGTATGCTGCAAGCCGGGCTGCTGCTGCTGGCCCTGCACGGTTTGCTGTTCCAAATGCGCCCGGTGCTGCGTGCCCCGGTGCTGCAAATGCCCCAGCTGCCCTGGCTGCGCCTGCATCAAGCGGTCCCTGTGCTTCGTGCCTCGCCTGCTCTGCTACCTGCCCCGCAAGCTCCTCAGCTGCCACCACCTCAAGTGCCTCCTCATCGTGGTGGTGGTGGTCGTCCTGCTGGTGGTCATCATCGCCGGCGCCCTCCGGCGCCCTGCTGATGTGGCTGCCCGCAGACCAGCGGCACGCCGACGCCGTAAGTAGGGACCCCCGCCGCCCCCCGGGGAGGGGCTGCCGCAGGTGGTGAGCTCCCCCCACGCCCCCCAGGTCCTGCGGATGGGGCTGCAGAGAGGACTGGCCTGGGAAGAGGATGTGGCCGCTTTCTACCTGGACAGCGGGGATGGAAACCCGGCCACGGTCATCTATGATTACAAGAACGTAAGCGGGGAGCCCTGCGCGGCCGGGGGGACAGGGAAGCGGTGATGGGACCGAGCTGATGCGGGTCTGTCTGCAAACAGCTGCTGGTGAGCTACAGATCCTGGCTCCACCGCGCCTGCTACATCACCCACGTGGACAAGGACAACATCCCAGGGCTGGACACCATCGCCGAGACCTTCCAGCGCCGGCAGGTGAGTGCTGGCCACCCTGCTCGGCACCGGCTGGGGCAGGACGGGGCATGGGGCGCACATGGCAATGGCCCGGGCACGGTGCCTCGTGCAACCCCCCCAGTGAAGAACTGGGGTGCAGCATCGCGCCGCTGCTGCCTCGTTTTTCCTTCTCTCCCCTCGCCAGGCTGAGGAGAGGCTCGCCATGCCCCTGGCCGATCGCTCCCTCCTGGGCACCACGGCGAGCATCCTCTGCAGCATCGTCCCTGTCTACTGGGCTTAGCCTTGCTGGGTGAGTGCGAAGGGTCCCGCTGCCCACAGAGGTGGGCAGGGGGCTGGCAGGGAGGGCTGGGGGACCCCCACCCACCCAGCAGCACCCTCACGGTGCCAGGTTTGCCTTGCAGCATCCCCGACGGACACGGCGTTGCCGCAGCCCCTTTGTCTCTCTGAGAGCATCACCGACACCTCCGCAGCTGCCCCCGCCAGCAGCCCATCACCCACCCCAGTTTCGCG